GATCATCATCGTCCCACTTCTTCCTTTTTGTCACTTTCGCCGTCATCACTACTTTCACTGTCGTCGTTTCGACCCGGAATCCAGATACCTGTATCAGGCTCCGTGCTTTGCTGGCTTATTAAATCAAGGGGGTACCCGGAGGCCAAAAGCCCCAAGATATACGACCTTCAGATACTGCCCGGAGTACTACGCACATATGATATTCATTGGGCTAAAGTGTAGGAATTCTGCCACTCCTAGCATTCCCAGCTCGGTGAATGTCTGGTCGCCCTGTTTTAGCAGTAACCCAACTTTTCACGTTTGCATATGCGACGAGAATATCCATAGAAGTCCATTGGACTGGCTTCTGTTTCGATGGCTGCATACCTCCCTCCAAGTTCGCTTGTCTTCCTGTGTTTCTTCAGAAAGCACTGAGACGTTTAGTTTAAGATACGTTCCAGTGGCAGAAGCTTGGCGATATAATTGATACACGCCGGTATTGCCGCAATTTTAGAGATAGGAAGAATGCCAGAAAGGACCTGCTCATCTTTAATATTAAACCAATAGCATAGCATGTTGTAACTTACTTGCATCTCCATGGGCACATAACTAGGCACGACTAGACCTGGCAATCGACAAGACGGATATCGCGTGTCAAAAACATCGTCTGAAATGTTTCGTCTATGCGCGAGAAGCAACGTTGGATTATAGAACCCTCGAAGAAAAAAGACCATGGCACATACCTTCCCCGGTGTTTTTGATGCGCGAACCTTTTTAGTACCGAAGAGAGCGTTCAACAACGACGACTTCCCAACGTTCGGTTGGCCTACGAAAAGAATTGAATTTCAACATTGAGTGTAGTAAAGCAACTTGCTACCTATGAGCCCGATTGTCAGAAAATCTGGTTCCGATTCTTCGCCATCCTTATCGTCATTTGTGGACTTCAGGTTTGTGGTTGTCGTCTCATCGATAATTACCGGTGCTGAGCCTGCCACAGTTAGGGCACTGCCCCAGTCTATGTCTCGTTTCACCGGGGAACCCACTTGTCCAGCCATTCAGGGTTTTGAGCAACTTTGGTTTGGGGTTTGAGTATTTCGCCATGTACCGCTTTGATAGCATCAATCAGACGTCGTCGGAACGTCTCTGGAAGATGTGGTTCATAATGTTTTCGGCCCTGATGTACTGACGTAGTTTCTTTTTCGGTGTATGCCTCGACCGGAATAACCGGTATAACCAGGATGATGGTCATGAGGTACTCCATCCACGCGGCAACACGAGCAGGGCCAGTAATGTCAATTTTGGTGAGAACAAAAATGACCTTATGATTTACGAGATAAGCAGCTAGTGATGGTGGAAAGTGGAGGAGAGGACAACGGGAGTCCAGCAGAACCAAGATAATTTGTGATATTTCGGTGACGCGCCATCTGTTCAGATAAAGTGGAACGTCGAGAATAAAAAAAGTAACGGCACTCACAGTTGCCTCCAAACCTCAAGATTGCGTTCAAAGTACGAAGGCGACGCAGGGGCAGCAGGAGAAGCTTCTTCACTAGGTTTGGAGGAATCAGGTTCCCTGCTCGTGTTCCACTCTGCTAATGAGAGATCAGTCTGTTCCAGCCATTTCTTGAACAGGCCTTCTTCGTTATGTTCAACCTCTTTCTTTGACATATCAAACCTCCATTTGGGACGTTTGGGGCACGAAAGTGGTTCTCGATTCGCTGATGTCATGTCCAACGGAAGACCGAAGACAGCGGCGTCATATCCAATTGGCCGGGGAAGAGGGACAGTAGATGCAATAACCTTGGTTTTCTCGAGAAAGTGGAAGCAATTTGATGAACGTCGACTGTAGTTTCCTGGCGGATGCGATGGCCACATCTGAACTCCCTTGGCCAACGGCTTGCCAGCACCGATCCTAGTCGGCCTGCGCTTATGAGAGGGTTTCTTGGTTGGTTCTGGTGGCGGTAAATCCCCTCGTTTTATGGCGCGTTTGATCTGTTGCTGCTCCTTTTCTGCTTCCCAGACGTTGGTTTGCGTCGAGGCATTGGCCCTATTTCCGTCATTGTTGGCAATTACATCATCCGGGAATTGCTGGTCGAAATATCATTGGAAATGTGTAATGTTATCATGGTGTTTTCCTTCGATATGGTCTTGATATGGTCTTCCGGCGATTCATTGAACTGGAAACCATTACATCAGCTCAGGTATGGGTGGGAGTGATAAGGATAGACTGCAGAGCGTTCATCAATACCAGCATTCGATCCATACAATGCGCATTGTTCCCATCTCTCTTTGATATTCTTCCTTACCTTCGTATCTCTTCCATCCCCCTTCACTCACACAGCCATGGCGCAGGCCCTCGCCGTCCATCACCTCTCTTCCCTGATGTCATCCGGCAGAGCCTCACAGCCAGGGACGACCAATAGCAGCCAGTCCGCTGCCTCTGCTCCCGGCTTCGAAACCAGGCGGTCCACAGCCCGAAAGAGGGCCATTTTGTCTATAAACATGGCCAACGACACCATTCATATGATAGCGAAAAAGCACCGTATCCCTGTGCTACGACCGTTCGGTTCTCGAGCTGTTAGTCTTCAGAGTGTGTCGTGGCGCGTTTGCTGATGTCGCACAACAGGGAGTCCTTAGAGAACCAATTCATTCAACGCGTCAAAGGATCCGTCTCTTTCATGGACATTGAGCAGCGGCAACCACAAAGAGTGCTTGATCTTGGTTGTGGCGTAGGTCATCCTCCGATAATCTTTGGTAACGGCGATTCATTGATGGACGGGTGTACTAGCTTGGGACATGGGTCATTGATGCCGCTAAAAGTGTCCCGAGTCTGAATTCGTAGGGTCGTATTTCCATTAAAGGAGCCCCTGTCGCTTACGTCGACTCTAGGTTGGCTTCGACTTGGTGGACGTTCAAATACCCTGCGCTGTCTTAGAACCCTCGGTCGCAGCTCGAATAGAATGGAAACACGGCAATTTGTGAGTGGCAGACACATGATGTTCTATTGTATTTTGACATGATCAATGTTCCCTTCTCAGCTTAACAACGAAATTACCCTTTGAGGATGACGAATTTGACCATGTTCACATTTCAATGATTGCCAAGGGTTCCGGAAAACAAGGTAAGGAACTTGTAGTTGTATTTGTCACCTCTACTCATCTATTGAAGTGGGGAAATCTCTTCGAGGTGTGTGCGACGGCAAATAAGCATCCAAACTCTTTTGCTAACAACCACAGGAAATAACGAGGGTCCTTGGTCCGGGCGGTTCATGTGAAATTGTTGATGAGGGTTAGTGTTCATTCATACATACACATAACCTGCTCCGACAACAGCGACAGACGTCGTATTTCCCATCCTTCCTCGGTGGTTCAGCAAGCCTTGCGCCGAGGCTGAAAACGTCATCCGTTCACCTACCCAAGGGTCTCCAGCACAGAAATTCTTCTTCTGCAGACCAGGCCTCGAAAAGTACAACTACACATGACCATGCTCTTCTAGAGTCACTTTATAATTCTGTATTTGAGCACAGATTCATCAATACCAAACCACATGTAAGAAGATATTCATCAGACTACTGGCTATTGGCTATGTTGACGTTTGCTAGCTTTGCTTCCAGGCCTTTTTACATCATATTTTCGGCAGATCACAATAGCCCCTGTCCTACACTTCCCTATGCCACCTCTAGCACCAATGCAGTCACTTCCTCCTCAAATTGTTACCACATATGTTCTAGAACCAGATACCGATACTTTGAACCCGCACCAATCTACATTTATCCAACTCCGGTACCAATGACTCGCCAATGTCCTTGTCCTTATCCTCTATTTCGTCTTCCCGTTCGACTGGGGCTAGAGTCAATTCGATCTATGATGGTCGACCCGGAACGGCTTCATCAAGCAGACATTACCGGAATCCCCACCTCGCACATGGCACCTCACGGTCTTCCCAAACCCAAACCGGGAAATGGTGGTGTATCTCCACCAACCCCACCTTCCCCTCCATTTCCCACGCCAATTTCGCAGATGCCAATGAAGCAGTTTATATTAGATAGGACGCTGAGTGAGGGGGAGGAGGCCACGTCCTATCCCCCAGCCAGCAGCGGCAAATATTTCCATCAATCGATTGCAACAGCTTAACAGCCGATATCTGCTATGCAGTTGTATCGGTGCTGCCAATGCATCCTGGGATGCCAAGAAGCTATGTGGGAAGAACTGAAAGACAGACTACGGAACAGGAAGCAGGAGCTAATACCATATGGATGGATGATGATGACGAGTTGGAGGAATTGCAAAACAGGACTAGATTTGAGAAACTTGTGGACAGGTTCAAGAGGTAAGATCTCCATCTTTTTGGCATAGCATAACTCCATTATGTTTGCTAGCGACATGCACCTTCGCCTATCTCTATGGCATTCATTGACAGACCTCGGCTGGGTTTCGCCTGAGCGTGAGCCTCTCACGAAGGCGGAGCTTGTCGAAGAGAACGAATACGAGCAAACATTTGGAAGCAGAAAACAGGCCGACCTGAGAGTTTGATATTCCTTGTCGCTCCGTCAGGGTTCTCGTTGGATTTAAATTATGATGCTTTGCTGTTCGTTAAATTATTGTACTATGTACTTACATCCTTGTATACTTTTCGCATATGTGGATCGCATCGTTACGTGACTGTCGTACCTATATATATCAATAGGTTTATGGCTAAAGCCTTGAGGTTGCGTAGAGTTTACCAAGAGTTCACTCCTACCAGCGCTGGGACTTTATAACTGGATATGTTTCTAGCCTTCAAGTAATTATCTCCTCACATTTCTTGCGGTACCAATCGAGAAATGGATTAGTTTTTATATGTTAAGTCGAGAGGGGAATCATGTTTCCGGGTGCGAAGTAAGTTTGTTGATCATTGTTTGCCTTCATTTTTTTCTATCTCACTTTGACCTCCGGCAAGGCTGCTCCTTGCATTTGACCTCTCTCGCAAATCTTTCATGTCTGTCAGATGATGGGTACTATACAAAAAAACATACAAACGCGAAGAAGGGCAAAGCGAAGGAAAATGCCCCGGTATCTTGTTCAAAAGCTTCATCGACGGCGGTGCGGAATGGAAAAGAAATACCTTGGGATTGGGCATCTATCACATCTCCGCTGCGAGCAAAGTACCTCCAGTCTTTACCCGAGACGGAAAGTGCGTCTGTCATCGTGTATATGTCGTTTCGCTGGTGTTCACATGAGCTTTCAGCTATTTCTTTTCTCTGGTTGGCTCGTCCGTGCAAATTTATTCAGTAGTCTCTGGCAAATCGTGTCAACGCTAAAGGCCCCTACACCCCGAACATCAACTGACAGCCAATCGAATAACTTTTCTTGTGCAATCGTCAATCCTCATAATCCGTTTCAACTGATCACCGGTTCTTTGGCTGGATTTTTGATGATTGGGACTTCTTGGATGGTACTTTGTTAAGGACCATCGATATCGCCCAACCTATACATCTGCTCTGCGCACACGAACGATTCAAGGATTACGTTTTTGTTGCGGTTTCTCGTCTGTCCAAGAGCAGCAATCCAGGTATGTTCAGGTACAAAGGCGTCCATTAATATCTCTTATCCACCTTTCCCAAGGAAACAATGCTGTAGTAATGCGTGTTTCGTTACAAAATGTCGAAGCCTCAACTAAATCGACCTTTCTCAAATCTGCCGAGATATCAGTTGTGGGAAAGACACGATTTACAACGGGTTTGGCAATTTCGTCCAACGGTGAATGGCTGGTAGCAACTGCAGGGCACAAGGTCTATGTGGCAAAAACATCATCTCTGGCTGCTGGTTTTACAAAATATGTATCTCCCGAACGCCTCACTTGCTTGGCATTCCATCCATCTCAAGAATACTTTGCAACTGGTGATGATAAAGGAGTCATCCGAATGTGGTATTGCTTAAATGATGGGCTTGCGGTCAACGTGAAGGGGTGGAGAAAAAGACGCAGACCTCTTCGATGCATTGGCATGCGCATGCCGTATCGGCTCTAACGTTCACATCGAATGGTGCTTACTGCTGAGTGGTGGCGAGGAAGCTGTTCTTGTCATTTGGCAACTGCATACTGGGCGAAAGGAATTCGTACCTCGAGTTGGTACAGCAATCAACACTGTATCAGTAGCGAGATCGAAGACCGGAGAAGAGGAGTACCTTCTCGGACTTGCAGACGCAACATATGTCTTTGTAAATTCCGGCAATTGAGAGTTTCGAGAAGCTATTCTCGAGTAAAAATGGTGTGTTGTCACGTTTGTTGTGCTTCTTCAATCCACTTATTTATCTTATACTAGATCCCAGTGCCGGAAGTGATCACTCCTCATCAGTTGCCACCCTTAGCCGTTCATACAACATCATCCACGATTCTTCTACCGTCGTCCCATCCTTCTTCACTCCAATTTACTCCCCCACAACATCACATAGTCTCAGAACTCGAGGTCTCGCCCTCCAACCGCGTGTCTAGGAGAGAGATAAAGTAGCGGAACAGTCTAGAGTTGAACACTGCGTAGTCTCATCATCAGGACGATGGATGGCAACTGTTGATGCACGAGAAGGAGACAGTGACTTTAGGGCTGAAACATACCTGAAGTTGTGGGCCTGGAATGAGAAAAATGCAGTATGATTCTCAATACCCGGATTGACAAGCCCCACGGAAAATGTAAGATCACATCACTGGAATTTAGCGTTGGAGGGGTAGAGGATTTACCTCTGCAATTGGCCACTGTTGGGGAAGATGGTATTGTGAGGGTGTGGCGCTTGAGAAATCGGAAATCAAAAAGTGGGGAGACTGAAGGTCAGCACTCGTGAATTTTCATCGTCTCGTTCCACTCATCGATATGTGTTAGAGTTTTGGGTGACGCGGACTACTCTCCAGTATCATTCGGAGAAGCCCCTGTCTATTCTTGGTCTCGTGATGGATCGTTACTCGCTGTGAGCTTTGAATCTTGCGTCGTTATTTATGAAACGTCCGTATACGCTTTACTTCAAGTCCTCACATCATCCGAGTGCACAAACCCACAAACTGCATATTTTATCGGAGGGAGTAACTTACTTGTTCGAGGTGGCACCGAAATGGTTCTTTGGGATATTTTAGCACATGGTGGTGAGTCTATATCATCCCAAAATTGCTCCTCCCTTGTGTTGAAGCTTGATCCCAGTCGTGTGGAGTTACTCCACCGAAAAGGATATCTACTCAATTAGCCCGCATCCTCTGGATTATCTTTCGCCGTCTTTGAAAAATGTGGTTCAAACGAGTCACAATCAACACGGATATCCCTCTTTTCTCTCAGCTCCCCTCGCCCGACCATGGTATACACCTTACCTTCACACTACGGAAC